CAGTAAAAAAAAAAGACAAAAAAAGAAAAAAAAAAAAAAAAAGATTGCATTACAGAACATTTCTATTATAACTTTATCATTCACACAAATATCCTTGAGGCCTTTTTGACTCTAACCTTTCAGCTGGTGACACCTCTTTTAAATCCTACTTATCTCCTTAGTCTTTTTCACTATAGATAGGAGAATCTTTTTTTTTTTTCCTTTTTGTCTTTTTTCGTGACCGGCAACGGATCGCAACCCTCAGTGTCGCACCCGTACCGGACCGGGACTGGCAACGGGATCGCAACCCTCGGTGTTGCGCCTGCACCTCACTCAGCCAGTGAGCGGCCGGTCTGTATGTGAGCGGCGCACTGTAGCAGTGCGCCACCGGGCCGGCCCTAGATAGGAGAATCTTTACTTGTTTTTAAGTTACAAGGTTTCCTCTTTTTTATTTTTTAGATTTCACTTTATTGATATACTACAAATTCATAATACACTATGAAATTTATCAGTTGAATAATTTAATAGTTTCCTGGACCAAATTACCCTATAGTAATAATTGCCAAATTTTTGGTTGTCAGATATCTTTCACATCTCTTTAGAAATATTTTATCTTCTCTCAGTGATTGGAAAGGTCTGGGTGGTATCTGTCTTTATTAGCTGTATGTCAGATCAATAGGTAGTTCAATTAATAGGTAGCTTCAAAGATTAGAGAGAGATGAGCTTTAAAACACTGCTACAAGGAGGCTTCAGCTCCCTCCTTTAAGTAGCAGCTTCTGGTATTTAGCCAAAACAGTGACTGCCATGTTGTTGGGTAGGCAGTAAGTATTTTCAGGATAGTCCATTAATGAATAAAAGGTTGTTATCTTTTTGAAGACTTTGATGATTTATCAAGTGTAGGACCTACGAAATTAAATGAGTTTAGAAACTTAAGAAATCTGAAATTAATTTTCAAGGCCTATTAATGTTTTGAACAGTAGTTCTGAAAAGGCTGTAAAGAAACAGACTCTACTTACATGTGTAGGCAGTTGTACCCACTTCTTTTATCTCTTGTTTCCTTCCTTCAAGCCTGTACTCCAAGCCAGTGATATCCATTGACTTGTTTAGACCTAATTAAGTACATGGACTTAATTGTTTTTCATTTCAAATTGAACAGCATTATACTTGAGAACTGGAGCAACAGGATCTAGTTCTTGTTATGACACTGTGACTATAAATGAGATTGATCTCTCTGAATTTATGTTCTTGGTGTGAAGTGAAAGATTAGGAGAAAAATCTTCCTGTGACTAGATGAACTATAATGGGTCTTTTTTCCTCCCCTCACCCAAGCAGTTTTTGTTTTTTACCTTTTTTTGGTTAACATTAGATAATAGAAATTTTATTAAGGAAACTTTTGGTCTTTGACAGTCACTGGCATCATTCTTTGAACATCTGTGTATGACCAGTACTCCCATTAGGAGCTGGGTAGAGTGTAAAAGAATATCATGTAAATGTGAAGTTTAATATTGCATTAATATTTTAATGTATAGTTGAGCATTGCAGAAGATATGTTTAAATATCCAGAATATGGTGATCAATAGTAACTCTTTCTGGGGCAATAAAATTACAGTTTTAACTTTATTCAGTTTTCAGGTGGGAGATTTGGTACTGATCATCCTAGATGAACGCCACGACAATTATGTATTATTTACTGTTAGTCCTACTTTATATTTTCTGCATTCAGAGTCTCTGCCTGCCCTGGATCTCAAACCAGGTGAGGGTGGTAAGTGTCATTCCATGACTAAAATATTAAACCTGGAGTAGATGGAATATATATTAAAGATGTTTTTTCCTGTTGTGTAATTATATCAGAATAAGTCACTAAAAAGGAACCTTGCTTAATCTGTTTTTTATAAAATCTTCATTTATCCAGATTATTTTAATGGATTTCATCAATAATTCAAAATTAGAATATAGCATATGTGACGGATCAATTGATCAGAAAATGCAGTGGTTCAGACATCTCATACCCTTAGCAATCACAGAATTATATGGTCAGAATTCTTATGTACAACCTAATAAAGCCTAATATATGCTCATTTGTTTATGAAGGCATTACCATTTTTTGGAAAAAAAATATAATAGTTTTCTTAAACCATTAAATGTCTTTTCTATTATAAAATGTCTTTTCTTTATCATCCTGTGTTCCTACTTTGTTTTTCATTATATTGATCAATACTTTTATTTTATTTTTTTAAAAAAGCAATACATCCTGTTAAAATACACTAAGTAACATTGTCTGTTATTTGATCATTTAAAAACTCAAAAAGAACAGAATAGATATCCTGGTATACTTAGCTTAAGTAGAATTATGTCCGTTTACATTGATGTTCCTGTTTGGAATGACATGAACAGAGTGAAATACTTATTCTTTGAAATAGGCCAGTGTCATGTAACTACTCCATCATGGCTCTTGGTGGTGGGCTATTTCGAATGTCCATAGTACAAAAGTCATATAACCATGAAAAATTAGAAGATAAGCTTACAACTTAATAATTTTCTTGCCTTGAAAACAATCAACTCGATATTTTGGGGTTTTTTTTATTATGGTGTTCTTAATTTATTTAAAAATTTTTTTCAAAAATGATTTTTAAACTTACAAAAAGTTGCAAAAGTTAATATAGTACAAAGAAAACCCATATAATTTTACACAGATTCACCTGTTATTAACATTTTACCCTATTTGCATTATCTCTATAGATATGGTGTCTAATTATACAAATACCAAAATATATACAAATGTGTGTACTTGTTTTTTCCCCAAAACCTTATGAGAGTAACTAAACATCATAGTCCTTTACCTTTAAATATTTCAATATTTCAGTGTTTATTTCCTAAGAATAGGAAGAATTCAGTGTTTAAATGTAGGAAACACTGTACTTTTTCTTTTTTTTTTTTTAGTGCACATTACCATTTCAGAGGCTCTCACGTGTCCTGCTGAAAGAATTGAATATCTCACTTAACTTTGGATATCCTTCCTCCCTTTTTCCCTTTGAGAAATACATAACAGAGCATGCCAATTGGGGTCCTGCTATCCCTGTGTTGTTACCCTGGAGGGGATAGGGAGTGTTTTTGTTGAGTTTGGCATAATTTGAGCATTTAGTTTTAGGTGATTGTTTTCAGACATTATGAAGTGGCTGTGAAGTGCTATTTTACTCTTCAGAGTGTTTTCTTTATCATGTTGTCCAGGGGCTTTTTGTCACATGATAGTAAACTTAAGTTTCATTCTTGATGATGTATTCAAAATATCTTTCATGTATATTTTGCGAAACTACTTTTATGGAATAAAAATCAGTTATGTCTTCTGTTGGGACTTTTAAAAGACTTTAGCCTAAACGGAATACAATTGTCACATGATAGTAAACTTAAGTTTCATTCTTGATGATGTATTCAAAATATCTTTCATGTATATTTTGCCAAACTACTTTTATGGAATAAAAATCAGTTATGTCTTCTGTTGGGACTTTTAAAAGACTTTAGCCTAAACGGAATACAGACAATCCCCAACTTACAAAGGTTTTTTGACATCATTATGGTGTAAAAGCAATACACATTCGTTAGAAACCATAATTCAAGTACCCATACAGTCATTCTGTTTTTCACTTTCAGTACGGTATTCAGTAAATTCCATGAAATATTCAACACTTCATTATAAAATAGGCTTTGTGTTAGATGATTTGCCCAACTGTAGGGTAATATAAGTGTTCTGAGCATGTTCTAGGCAGGCAAGGTTAAGCTGTAATGTTCGGTAGGTTAGGTGTATTAAATGCATTTTCAACTTAATATATTTTCAACTTACGATGGATTTATCAGGGACATATCCCCGTTGTAAATTGAGGAGCATCTGTAGTTTATTGGCTGAATACTTTTGAAATCAACCTTATTATGACAACTTTTCTGATGAAATTAAAAGGATTGAGAGTTTACCTCTTAGCTTGTCATACTTTGGGGGTATGAGGACTAGCCTTCTCATTCGGTCTCCTCCCACATTTTTCATCTCCCCTTCACGCAAGTACTACCCTTCTAGACTTTCTTTGATTATTAACTAGAGAAATTTATTATTTTTTCATTTATTGAGCACCAATTGTGTTCACACTGCTGTGCCGGGCACCGTGGCATACAGATGTGAGGAAAGTGCAGTTCTTGCTTTTGAGGAATTGTATTAAATGCACTGCCCCTCAAAAATCAGTTCTTTGCTTTGAACCTAGAAAATGTATTTTGTCTGCTTTCAGAAATGGAAAATGTCATCTTTGTTAGCTGTTTCAGTAGATGGCACTGTTGAGTTAGCCCAAAATTCCTAGATGTATTTGTTTATGATTTATACTTACATTAGTAGTATTTTCTGAACTATGTTAGTTCTGTGATTTGATGTACCATGTACATTTAGTTAATGAGTAATAAAAGCCATATAATACTGGTTGAAAAGTACCATGACTTCAGTTTTTTTATATAAATCGTTAAGCATTTCAGTGATGTCAGCAGTTTGAAGACATTCTTTCACTCATGAGAACTTAGTCTGTTTTGATTCCGGCAGTTATGTTTTCATATGTAATTATAACTGTACTTTCAGAAAAGAAATTAACAGTTTGATTCATTAGCTTCAGGTGTATCTAGAAGACCCTGGGTACTTGGAAAAGTAATGGAAAAGGAATACTGTCAAGCCAAAAAGGTAAAAACTGTAACATATGATATAAACCTAGGAATTATAAAGAAGATTCTCATACTCTTTATATAGAAATCATTACTAGTGCTGTTCTTGGGCTTTTAGCTCACTTGAGTTAGAGCTTGAATTTAATGAGAGTGAGTTTGAACCGGCAATTTTATTAGTATTTGTGTTATTTGTCTTTAGATAGTATAGGTAGATGACTAACAATCCATCGACCTATACAGGAAAACAACTGCAAAGTTTCTGCTTTATGACTATTAAGTTACTAGTGTAACTTATGTGCAAAAAAAGAATGCTGCATACCTGGCAACAAAAGTGAATTCTGTTTGTAGGTAGAATTGATGTTTTCTTATTTTCATCCTGTACCCCCACTGAAGAAAGATAGTGTAAAGTACTTGGTGGCTTAAAAATGGGCCTGATTGTAATATCAGCAATATCAGTGGTATAGAATCAGTAAAATCTACTGAGCATTCTTCCTGACTCATTGTAATTTGAGGCCTCAGTGCTTCAAAACACTAAACGATCTTAAATTTTATAGAATTGAGGTTTCTTTGATACTTAATGAAATGGCCCACTTTGTACTATATTCTTTACAGTGGGTATCAACTTTGTCTTCTATCAATATTAGTAGCTCAGTATATAATATATTCTCAGTTGGTGAGAGGTAGATCTTTGATAAAGGTCCCCACTTCCCCGAAAATACTGTAGCAATGAGTAGTATGATAGTAAGTACTGGCGTAATTTGCTTTAATCATTTAAGTGATTCCCTTTTTTCTTTCCCTCTTAGGCACAAAACAGATTTAAAGTTCCTTTGGGGACAAAGTTTTACAGAGTGAAAGCCGTGTCATGGAATAAGAAAGTATAACTTATGGAAGTAATTAATAGGTTCTATGACATTTTCCTGATTTGTCCAACAGTGCTCATTCATCACTACCAAAACAGCAGGCCATCTTTTTATACAAAAGTCAATGTGACAATGTACTTCATTGGTGTACATCATTTACTTTTTAACTGGCTACATTTTAGGAATAATAAATTTCATTAGAACCCTTGGCTGAATTAAAATGGTTTTGTTTTGGGACTTTTTTTTTTTTACCAAAATAACTCTAGAAATGTGGACCAAACTAGTTCATTTTCTCAAAGGGCATACCCTGTACATTGTGGCTTATAATTAGCCATATTAATTGCCTGTTAAATATACATTAGCTTGAACTTAGATGTTAAATGTTAGTTATTATTACCAGCATTTGTCCTTTTGTGAAATCAGTATCAGAATACTTGCACTCTTTAACACATTCTTTATAAAATGTATAAATTCTTCAAAACTATTTAAAGAGGAGTGTTATTGCATGCAGATAATCATTTTGAGTTTGCCTCAGTAGATTACTAAAGCAAATTGTTTCATTTATTTTTCTAAATGCCCTTTGATGTTTAAAAAAAAAAAGAACTATAATTTAATTGACTGATTTTGAGATCAGCCATAAAGAATCAGCAATCTTCAAAAGCACTTTCAATAGACTGATCATCTGAGTTCTAAAGGGAAGAGTCTGTGTTGTTAACCATTTCAAATGCAGTACTCAGATCTTCCCAACATCTTTATTACTCTGTTTAGAATAATCATATTGATGAAATCGTAATTTATGGTTGAGTTTCAGGAAAAAAGATATTCATTGTACATTAACCATTTAGAGGTCATTTAAATAACAAAATATTGTATTGTAAAAGACATGTACAATTTTAAAACAATAAAGATTTGAACCTGTAAATGTGTGTGCCTTTTAAAGAAGGATACATTTTTAATATATTTGAGTGATTGTTAGGAAGTGTGAAAAAATTGTTCTGTATCATATCAAAGAGAAACATGATTATTACAAAAATGTTCTTTATACTATGTAACAGGGTAAAACAGTGTTATATAGAATAGAATTCTGTAAACTAGATCTTTAGAGAATTTGCCATTGAACAAAGCTATTTAAATGAATTCATTGAGTTGGATGAGACTTGTGTCAGGTTTGTTGCTAGAGAACAATAATAAAATGATTCTTTTTTGAAAAATATTTAATTTCTTCATAAAAAATAAGTTAAATATTTTTTTAAATATGTGTACCTAATAGTACAAAAATGGAATAAACATCATAGTGTATAGAAAACTGAATTTGACAACATATTAATGAATAAATGAACAAATGATTTCACATGTTTCTATTCAATCCTTGCATCATATCTTTATGCAATGAATACCAAGCAATAAGTTACTTTATATACAGAGTGGTTTTGTTAAGCATATTTGGTTGGGTCTCAATGAATCTGCCAGGTAGACCATTTTGACTTAATTAATGCCCTTCAAATTTAATATGTGGTCATTGGGCTGTAGCAATAAGTTACTTTATATACAGAGTGGTTTTGTTAAGCATATTTGGTTGGGTCTCAATGAATCTACCAGGTAGACCATTTTGACTTAATTAATGCCCTTCAAATTTAATATGTGGTCATTGGGCTGTGTAATTGTAGTGTGGTGTGACACGTGACATCAAATCCATCATCTCATTAATGTTGCTATTTAATGTTGGATATTGTTGCTTATAGTTTTTCTTGTATCTGTTTTATAATCCATCCTGTCAGTGTCCACGTGTACTTTTGTAAATCAAACAGAAAACTGAAATAATTTTCTTAGTTAAAAAGAACAATGAAACTTGGAAACCTAAAAACATCAGTTGAATTCTTAGCTTTGCATAGTTAAAGGCAATCTGTTGTGATCCTTGGCATTGGAATGCCTGACTTCAGTTTTGGATTTAACTAACCCTGGATGAGTTGCATAAACTCTGAACCTCAGTTTTCTCATGTTTAAAGGGGAGTAATAATAGGAACTACCTCATAGGGTTATTTTGTAGATTAAATAATATGCCACAAAATTCCTGTCCTATTTCTCACTTTTGCCCCCTAGAAGTAATTACTTTTACATTTTTAGCCATTTTTATCTCGTTTGCTAAATTATATGGCTATACTGATATTTTTTGATAAATCAATTTACATTTTCTGTTTACTTTCTCATATATGAAATTTGATTCATTCATACCCTTAATTCCGCACTCCTATCTTTCCTATGTAGTATGTACTACTTTCTGTTTGGTTCATTAGGGTTTGCATTATGATGACTCACTATTCTCTCCTGTGCCAAGTCCTGCACTATGATACATTTTCTTTCTTGTTCAGCCTGTACATTTTTATTTGAAGACTTTGTTTTGTTTTGTTTTTTTCTTCTTGTGCTGTTATCTTGTAATTATCATAGCTTTAATCTTTTCAGATGCTTCTTCAGTCAACTCACATTTCTCAGAAACCTTCATTTTGGAACCATTAGTTCTGCTTCAAACATCTGGCATACTATTTCACATTCTAGGACTTTCTTTAATATTTTTGTTAGAAAGCCACTGTGTGATGGCTCTCTTTCCTCTTTCTTGCTGGAGCTTATGATGAAGTAACTTCTTAGGGAAGAATTACAGATTAATTTTTTAATCTCTACAAATCTGATAGCTCATACTTGATTGACAGTTCAACTGGATATAGTTTTTTTGTTTGTTTGTTTTTTTAAAGATGACCAGTAAGGTGATCTTAACCCTTGACTTGGTATTGTCAGCACCATGTTCTCCCAGGTAAGCTAAATGGCCATCCCTATTTAGGGATCTGAACCCATGTCCTTGGGTGTTATCAGCACCACACTCTCCAAAGTGAGCCATTGGCCGGCCCTGGATATAGTTTATTTGTAGCATTGCTCTCTTGTCTTCTGCCATCCAAGTTGTGGAGAAATCAGATAGACTCCATCTGTGTTCTTTTTTAGATTTTTTTCCTACCCCACCTCCATGTTCCCAGAAATTTTTAAGAGCTTCGTTTTAGTCCTGCTATTATAAAATGTCATAATAATGTCTTAGAATTTCCAACCCCAACCATTCTTGCTACTAGGCAGTCAGCGAACCCTTTCAACCTAGAGATGCATGTCCTGCAGCATTAAGGGAATTTTTAAAAATTTTTTTTGATTTCTTCTCAAAGTCTTAGTAGATGTTACACCTTTTAGATCGCCATTTTCCTTATATTATCTCCTATCTTCTATCTAATTTATAGTCTTTTCTGGGAGTTTTCTCAATGTTTCTTTTATTGAGAAACATTGAGAAAACTTTCATGTTGGCAGTTATGGTTTTAACTTCCAAGAGTGCTGATCACCTTTTCGTGAATCCTGTGGATCCATATGAATTAGTGTTTTCCTAAAGTTCTGTCCCCTCATTGTCTCCCAAGACCTTTTTTTTCCCATTAATTAATTTTGATCTTTGTATTTCCTTTTGGAAGTGTTTCTTAAATGTCTAATGATCCTTGTTTGTCCCCTCCATATTCAAGAGTAGGGCATTAAGAAACTGATTGTTAACGGTGTTTTTAATGCCTTCTACCTTGTGTCCAGAAAATAAGAAATAGTTGATTATCAAATTGTAATTATAAACCTTAAAGAAATTTTGGAGATCATCTGGCCTAGTCCTTTTTGTTTGTTTGATTTTTAGTGTTGAGGTGAAATTCACATAGTTAACCATTTGAAAGTGAACAATTCATATCAGTACCTCATTCTTTCTATAACTAAATAATCTTCATTACACACACACACACACACACACACACACCATAATTTGTTTATCCACTCATCTATTGATGGATATTTGGGTTGTTTTTACCTTTTAGCTATAGTTTCTAGAGCTACTGTGAATATGAATGTATATGTGTTTGTTTTGGTACCTGTTTTTAATTATTTGGGGTATATCCTAGGAGGGGAATGGCTGGGACATACGGTAATTTTATGTCTGACTTTCTGAGGAACTGCCAAATTGTCTTCTACAGTGGCTGAACCATTTGCACTCCTATCAGCAGTGTATGAGGATTCCAACTTATCCACATCCTCACTAACACTATTTTCTTTTTATTATTATTATCATTATTACTAGTAGTAGTGTAGTCATACCAGTAAGTATTTCATTTGCTTGTGGACCATTTGTATGTCTTCATTGGAGAAATGTCTATTCACACTCTATGCCTCGTTTTTAAAGTTTTTTTTTTTTTTATTGTGAATTGTAAGAGTTCTTTATAGATAACTAGACTTCATATATGATTTACAAATATTTTCTTCCATTCTGCAGGTTGTCCTGTTGCTTTCTTGATAATCTCCTTTGTTGCACAGAAGTTTTTAATTATGATGAAGTCCAGTTTACTTATTTTTTCTTTTTTGCTTCTCCTTTTGGTGTCATAATTAAGAATCCATTGCCAAATTCAAGGTCATGAAGATTTACCCATGTGTTTTTCTCTAAGAGTTTTATAGTATTTGCTCTTATATTACGTTGTTGATCCATTTAGAGTTGTTTTGTATATGGTGTGAGTTAGGGTGTGTGTGTGTGTATGTGTGTCAGTACCACAGTGTTTTGATTACTGTAGCTTTGTAATAAGTTTTGAAATCTGGAAGTATGAGTCCTCCGATTTTGTTCTCTTCCTAGATTGTTTTGGCTATTAGGGGTCCCATCAAATTCCATATGAATTTTGAGATTGGTTTTTACATTTTGGAAAGGCCATTGGGATGTTGATAGTGATTGCATTGAATCTGTAAATAACTTTGGGGGAATATTGCCATCTTAATAACATTAGGTCTACCAATCCATGAACACAGGATATTTTTTCATTTATTAACATTTAATTTCTTTCAGCAATGTTTTATAATTTTCAATGTACAAGTCTTTCACCTCCTTGGTCAAATTTATTCCTAGGTATTTTGTTCTTTCAGGTGCTATTATAAATGGAATTGTTTTCTTAATTTCCGTATAAAATTATTTGTTGCTGGTGTATAGAAACATAGCTGATTTTTGTGTGGATCTTATACTTGAAACTTTGTAGAATTCATTTTTTAGCTGTATTGTTTACATTTCATTTATTCTGTTTATTTATACTTTATATTTATATTGTTTACAATTCATTTTAGCTGTACTGTGTGTATGTGTGTGTGTGTTATTTGAGATTTTCAGATCATCTGCGAATAGAGATAATTCTGTTTCCTTTCCAATTTGTATGTCTTTTATTTCATTTTCTTGTCTAATTGCTCTGCTAGAACTTCAAATACTGTTGAATAGATATACATCCTTTTCTCATTTCTGGTCTTACAGAAGAAGCATTCAGTCTCACCATTGAGTGTGATATTAGCTGTGAGTTTTTTTACATATGGCCTTTACCATGTTGAAGAAATTTTCTTCTATTCCTTGTTTATTGTTTTTTACCATGAAAAAAATGTTGACTTTTGTCAAATGCTCTTCCTGTCTCAATTGAGATGATCATGTAGGTTTTTTCCTTCATTCTATTAATGTAGTGTATTATATGGATTAATTTTCATATGTTGAACTATCATTGTGTCCTAGGAATAGATACCACTTGGTCATGGTATATAATCCTTTTGATATGCTGCTGAATTCAGTTTGCTAGTATTTTTTTTTTTTTCAGAACTTTTGCATTGGGTACTTAAGTGGATGGACCAGTTCTCTGAGGGTCTTAATCTACTATTTTCTGTAACATCAATACTGGCCTAATCCTTTTAAAGATTTTTTTAAAAAAACCAGACTCAGAGAGTGTAATGATTTGGCCAATGTCTCAGAATTAGGGTCTCAGCTGGGAGTCAAACTGGTCACTCCTGACTTCTAGCATGGTGATCTTCCGATTTGAGGGAAAAAAATCTGACTGTATGGCTTAATTTCCTCCAGTGGTTAGAATAGTTTATGTGAATGTCATTTACGGTAGGGATCCAGGAGAATAAAAAGGGACTAAAAAATATATACATGTGTTGGAAATTAAGACTACAGCATTTTTCCCAAGTTTTTAGTTATTTCCTGCTTATTCAAAGTTGGGGACCTAGAGGCCTTTTTCATTTTGAAATGTTGTACGTATATGTTTAGCAAAGTACACCACCCTTAAAAACTTCAGGTTTTCTATAAGATGGATTGAAGTTCTTTACATGCCCTTCAAAAGCTAAATCATAATTCATACAAACTTCTCTCTGGAATGCTAGAGTATTATGGGAAAACACTCATAAGATTCTTAGGAGCTATCTTGTTTAGCTAAAAGGGTCTCAAAGGACATAACAGTCACAGCTTTGATTTAATCATGACCCTGAAACTGTTTCTTTGAGGATCCTCAGCTTACC